CTCTCTCTCTCTCTCTCTCCCTCTCCCTGTGTGTGCGTGTGTGTGTGTGTGTGTGTGTGTGTTGTGTGTGTGGCGAAGACACATCAACGCACACCCACACAAAGATGCACACTTGAAGCAACATGGAGAAACATACACACACACACAACCAGCTCCCTCTCTCTCTCTCTCTCTCTCTGTGGCAAAGACACATCAACGCACGCCCACACTTAAAGATGCACACTCGATTTGGAAGCAACATAGAGAAACATACACACACACAAGCAGCTCTCTCTCTCTGACAAACACATACATCAACACCCACACCCACACACATACAGACACACACACATCTCCACACACACACAACACATACAGACGCACACACACACATCTCCACACATACACATTTTCACACACACACATAGGCAATCGAGTTGCTGACATGGGTGCAATTCCTCATGCTCCACATAACCAGTCTAAAGGGGCCTGCAAGAATCACTATACTTGACTGATCGGTCAGTCCAAATCATCTCCGTCAATTGTAGTGAAACGATTCGGAAAACTGGAAATTGAAAAAAAAGTCTAACTAGCGATTACTACTGATCTGAAGTGCTCACCTAAAACCACCACCACCACGGCCGCACATGCTTTCCGGAAGCACACAAGGAGACGATTGGAACCCTCTTGCAATGTTGACCTCAAGTCTCAAAAAAAAAAAAAAAACAGATACCAATCCCTAAAAAAAAGTTGAGTCATGTGTCCGAAAGGGCAAGAGCAAGCCCTGTCACTACTCTCCACTTATATATTTATCTTAAGAAACTAGACAATAACTGGGAAATAATAACGAAGCATTCACTCACTCGTTCGGTGACTCAGCGACTCGTCAGCTTTCAGCGGTTTAATTACAAAGAAGCGCTCACCCATATCCCGAATACGTTACTAACTGGATACTCACACTTGTACGCTCCTATACACGTATCTGACTGTAATTATGGCCACAATTCCCACCCTGTTAAAATCCTAGTTTGGTTATATAAGATATATATATATATATATATATCGTATATATATATATATACTCTTCTAGCTTGCCAGCTGTTACTCGGCAGCAGCAAGGACAGCATCCTCTAGCTGTTCAATATCAATATGCCCATTCAAAAAGGCAAACACAAACTACTCTCACGTCGGTTTCCAACTCGCTTCTCAAACTTTTCTCACCTTGGGTTCGAACTCTTCTCCCTCCGTGGTCCTTGAGACATCCTCGGTGATCCAAGGAACATCGTCGAACAACTTGTTCGGACCATGGATTTTGACACACTGCTTGTCGATATGCAATCCACAATCCAGTACCCACCCACAGGTGCTTCAGTATCTGTTAAAATTAAAAAAAAAAAAAAAAAAAAAAAAGTATTTCAGGATTATTACAACCTATCCGCGTAAATTGCCACAATCTGCATCGATCAAACTACGGAAGAGGAAGAACTTCATGCTCTTTACCTTACGTCCATAGTCCTTCGACGACATTACACTGTAGTCAGTCAGTAGTACTTGGTACTAAGTCAGCTAGAGCCTAGAAGTTAATTGCCCGGAATCTTCGCCGGTTCTGATGCAAAGACAAGGGAAGTTAAGAGAGTATCGTACGAAAAGAAGGAAAAAAAAAAAAAGAATGTAGCGCAATCATCTGACAAGTAAGACAGTAGAGTAATCAAGAAGTGCACTGCGTCAATAGACTAAACCGATTCTTCGACACTCAGTAAAAAATAAACAGGCAGCAGAATCAGTACATACTACATATGGTATGCTGACCTTGACTAGCCGCCTTTAGTTTAGCGTCCAACTACATGTGGTATAGTGGGGCATCAGCTGGGAGCAATGGAGCAGAGGGACGCTGGACCTGGTTTGCAGCAGAAGGGCGTCGGTCTTGCAGGGGGACGGAAATGAGGTGGAGTCCGCTTCTTGTAGAGGCGGAGCAGTGATGAATCTCTCCTCCAAAGCGGAGACGGCAATCAATGCCGCTGCCCCAGGATCCTTCACCCATGACGGACGGAAGTGTTGAGTGGGTAATCCACGTAAAAGGGGTGGTCGACCCTGTTTCCAGAAGCTTACATAATACATAAGACTTTTTCGAAAGGGCAAAAAAAAAAAGGCTGAGCTGGTGAGCTGGTGATCCAGTAAACCATGGTTCCCAGTAAACCATGGAACCAGTAAGACCACTGTGTGAGTAAATGGAGCAGCAAACCACTGGACCAGTAATCCACTGAGCCAGTTGACCACCTGGTGAGCTGGTGATCCAGTAAACCATGGGACCAGTAAACCACTGAACCAGTAAACCATCTGGTGAGCTGGCGACGATGGGGACCGCAGCATGTTGGAAAAGAGCGGAAAGCTTCAGTTAAAGGAAAACCTAAAATGGGTAGGGGTCAGAGGTGAGTCCGATACGCGCATTTTATTTATCTCGTTTTTTTTTTCATCAAATCGCAATTGCGGATAACGGGAATCGAACCCATATCCCCTACCATGAAACCCATAAGACCATTGTGTCAGTAAACAACTGGACCAGCAAACCACTGGACCAGTAAACCACTGAACGAACCAGTAAACCACTGAGGCAGTAAACCACTGAACCAGTAAACCATCTGGTGAGCTGGCGATCCAGTAAACTATGAAACCCATAAGACCATTGTGTCAGTAAACAATTGGACCAGCAAACCACTGGACCAGTAAACCACTGAACCATTAAACCACTGAACCATTAAACCACTGGACCAGTAAACCACTGAACGAAGCAGTAAACCAATGAGGCAGTAAACCACTGAACCAGTAAACCATCTGGTGAGCTGGCGATCCAGTAAACTATGAAACCCATAAGACCATTGTGTCAGTAAACAATTGGACCAGTAAACCACTGGACCATTAACCATTAAACCACTGAACGAACCAGTAAACCACTGAGGCAGTAAACCACTGAACCAGGTAACCACTGAAACAGTAAACCAGTAAACAACTGAACCGGTAAACCAGACAACGACTAAATCACTGAACCAGTGAACCACACTTCATAAGCCACTGAAAGAGGAAACCACTGAACCACATAAACAGTTAACCACTGAACCAGCCAACTACTAAACTGCTGAACCAGTAAAACTGCATGACCATTGAGCCCCTGAACCAGTGAACCACTGAAACAGTAAACCACTAAACCACTACACCAGTAAAGCACTGAACCAGGAAACCACTGAGCCCGTGAAGCTCTTGAACCACTGAACCAGTAAATCACTGGACCAATGAACCAGCCAATCAGAAAAGTATTGAACCAGTGAACCACTGACTCAATGAACCAGTTTAAACGACTGAGCTGCTGACGGCACAAACACATTACCTACTAAAAGTTCGACTAAATGCATGACGAGAGAGAGACCTGACTGGTGAACCATTGACACATGATGACAGAGACCTGACTGGTAAACCATTAAAACAATGCATCACTGCTCCTGAGCCAAGGAAACTGTTCAACTGCTAATAGTACACCAACTGAGCAACCTGTTAACGAGCAAATCACTAGACCAGTGAACCGACCAGTATGAGTTCGAACTAATGAACCGCTTTGGCAGCCAGGAGAGCAGTTGAACCCAGGGGTGCCCGATTAGGAATCCAGACCGGTGGTTGACTGATGCCCAATTAGGAATCCAGTAGAGCTGTAGCACTGGCGCCTTGGCAAACTGAAGCTTTTCAACACCATCAACACAATTCACAGTTTAATGTACTACCACAAGTCTCCTCCTCCTCCTCCTCCTCCTCCTCCCCTCCCCCTCCTCC